CGATGCGCGTCCCGTGTTCCGAATCCCGACAGCTTGAGGAGATCTCCAGAACCTGTGAAGTCAAGGTCCAAAACGTTCTGAGCTGTCAACACACAGTGGAGCAGAGCTGCCAGGGAACCAGAGGGAAGCCCGATGAGAAATGCATCGAAGCCTGTGATTTCGTGCACCGATGCGGGCACCGCTGTACCGGCGATTGCGACGTCTGTCGGGCGGGTCGAAGCCACCGACCTTGTAGGTTGGAATGCAACAAAACACTCCCCTGCGGCCACCCATGCAAAAGGATATGCGGCCGACGTTGTGGTCCTTGTGAAGCGCCGTGCCAGCGTCAGTGCAGTCACGAGGAATCAGAGGTATCACGCTGCGAGAAGAGGTGCGGCGAACCCTGTTTTTCGAAGCGCCAGGCTTGTCGCCGGAAAGGTGTCAGTCACTGCCCTCATCAGGAGTGCGCAGCGAAAACCTGTTGGGAGTGTAAATGTGAGCCGTGCGGCAAGACGTGCAGCAAGAATCATGAAAAGTGTAATCATCCATGTGAAGGTATGTGCGGCGAGCCGTGCCTCGCGGTGTGCTTCAAATGCAAACCGAAACGCCGCACGGCTCTGTTCGGAATTGAAGCGCTCAGCGGGAAATTCCTCCGAGTTCCTGGCTGCGATCATCTTGTGGACGCAGAGGTCATGGATCAGGTAATGGCGACTTGGAAGGTCGGAATTCCTCGCTGCATCAGGTGCGACCGAGAAATCTCCTTCTGGAGACGTTACAACTACGTCTACAATCGCATGTACGAGCCTTCGATCTTCGATCGGAGCGAGGCCTCGAAGGCGAAGCGCGCCGTCGAAGACTTGCGCGGACATCTGAAGAGGTTCCAAGCTGAAAACAGAGCGCTTGAGATGCGGGAAGCCTCGGCGAGCGATGAAATGGCGCGATACTACGCAGGCGAGATCGTCGGGGACTTGGAGAAGCGACTACGAAAATGGGAGGTGGAAGACGTTGGGCTCTGCAATCGAGTTTTCCAGGTGATGTTAGGGCGATCTGCATCGAAGTCGTTCGGAATCGTTTGTATGACATTGATGTTCGAAAAGCTGAAGATAATTTTTTCGCGTATTCCGAACATCTCTTCAGATGCTGAAGTCGCTCATAGAACTTCTCCCAGAGGCGATGCAGGCATCAAATTTTCATCATGGCGAAGAGTCGATCCAGAAAAAAACCTTCCTTCTGGCCAGCGAAGTTTTCGAGGATCTTCACGACATGGCCGACATCAAGCCGGAATCAGAGGTAGTGACTTAGTCAATGTCTCCCTGAAGAAAGTTTCGGACGAAACTTCTGATGATCGAAGTCAAACTCCTCTCTTCTCCCCCCCTCCCCTCTTGACGCTCAGAGCTCATGGACCGCATCCGTGTTTGACGATATCTGCGCCGAGGCCCTGCGTCTCAAATACGTCCTCATGCTCCCGCACGTCGCAAAGAATCTACGAGCCCGTTTCCTTGAGTTGATTTTCGCCGACCGAAGGTTTACACCGACTCCTGCGAACGCTATACTCCAGGTGAGCGGCGCTCGGTCAAATACGAAATTCGCACAAATTCATTCTCGCAGGTCTCGATTTAATTCATTTATCGTTCTTACAGCGATCGGATTCAAAACTCAAAGTTCGTCCATTCGCCCATTGATGAGTCCTTCGGTCGGCCGGCGCATCCTGCTTTTCTGATATTCATTCGTCCATCCGGGGACAGCCGATTTATTTATGCCTCACCGGGCGGAATAAGTACTATAAATTCAACCGTTCCACCCAGGGCTCCGTCTTTCGCTGGAACGCCCGAGGGAATGCGCGCTTCGTGTTTATCGAAAACGATGACTCGAAGTTTTATTTTTCGATACATCATCCATTGAAACACAGAATATTGCTTGGAATGATGTCATTATCACTGCTCAACTCGTTTAGGTACTTGGGGGAGACACATGTTGTAGAATGAATTTTTGTCCCAGAACGTCTGTGGTTTCCAGTTGCACCAACCCTGGAAGGATCACAATTCGTCATACCGAATCAAATCGCGGAATTCTAGCTGAAGCCATGTGACCCATCTGTCAGACTAAACCTACTTTTCCATTGATGGTCTGCAGATCCTCCGACCCGGTATAGTGGGGATCCAGTATAAGGAAGTGGACTTCCTCGCTAGCGTCGTTGACAGCAACGCCCAGGATAGTGTGAGCCAATTGACCGCCACCTGCAGAGACAGAGAGAATCCTCTTTTACAGCTTCTATATCGGGGCCGAACATAAATTACGTGAGCCTGGCCTGGCAAGGCACAGGCCGTACCGATCATGACGGGGGTTCCGTGCTCAGTGAAGTGATCGATGAGGTCGTTCGCTTTCGTTGCCAGCTCCGCGCCCGATGACACGTATATGGTTTTGGAGTCGACCTTCGTCAACTGATTTAGCACGAAGGAAACCTCCTGTGATCCGATCCATTGTCTAGAGCCGATGAAATTTGCCTGCTTGTCGCCGATCTCCACGAGAGTTCGCTGAAAGAGGATCGGATTTCCGTCGTATCCACTTCGAGAATATATCGCGGGGTCTGTCTCCTCCAATTCCGGAAACACACACACATCGAACCCACCTGGATCTTCTCATGGTTGGGGACGTCCTCTTCAGTAAAACCCTGCAGCCGGAACCAAGAGCAGAGTGTTTGCAGGGAACGGTATGCGCAACCCCACCCGCAATCGTCGAATTTTTGTTGCATATAATGGTAATAGAGATATTCCCCCTGAACGATCGCCGTCCGAGTTGCTTTGGCGGGTGGCTTAAGCTTGTTGTGTGGGTTCACCAAGAGACCGCTATATAGGTTGGAGTCCTGTGTGAAGAACAGAGCTTGTCCTGAAGAAAACGTTGGCTTCTCGCCTCGCATGGCAAGATCAGTCCTCGTCGCGAACTTGATCACGTTATTAACTTGGTTTCGCGGATATAGAATCGTGGCGAAACCGTTGTCAACTTTGAAATGCATGGGCGCTGGCGGGGTCAACTGGTTTTCAGAAATTGATGAGCAGATGACCTCAACGCTTGTGGATGTCTGCGAAATTTCGAGTGAAGTTATTTTTCGCGGTTCCGGAAGAGCAATGCACCGGTGATCGGTAAGCCAATCAAGGGCTGCTAGCTTATCAATGTCGGAATCTGAGCAGAATATTAGAATCCATGGATCCTGGCATCACCTGTTGTTGTAGGGCCTTGGTGAGCAGTTCTGAAACGGTGCGCACCTTCGTGTCGTACGGGAAAAACGACACTACGTCGAGTATTAGCGGAAAATCGAAAACTTTCGCGTTCCCTCTCTGTATGTGTATGACCGGACTATGGAAAGCATCTCCGCGAGCAGAGATGTCACCAGAGCCCATGATCCTCACGGGGAGTAGCTCGAGAATGTCCTGAGGAAAGGGGGAAGGAATCTTTTCAGACGTTCGGATGCGAGATGATTCGATCTGGGGTCCAGATCCAACCTCGGAAAGTTCAGCGCTCGACATTCCCTCACCGTGCCCTCCGGTTCGCTCTTCCGCTGCAAAGCCTTCTTGATGAAGTCGCCAATTTCCAAGTCCGGGTTTATTTTCGTCAGTTCTCCTCTGAGATCGAATGTGACATTGCCTGGGGTGAGCCACGAGCAATTCGTTCCGATAGCTTGGGAAAGGGTCTCGCGGAAGCGCCCTGCAATTCGTTGTGATCTAAGTTTGCGGGAAGGGTTGGAGCCTTGGCGGGAGCAGGGAATACAATTCACTTCGGAGAGGAATAATATTTTCGAGCCAAAAATGTCGCTACCTTCGGCACCACAGTATTCCACACTGAGTGGAATAGATAGCCTCGCCCTCAGCAAGACACCACCGATTTCGGCGAAGTCACTCAAGACGACATCGGCCCTTGACTCCGTCGATCCATCTGTACCGATCAAGCTCGCTCGGGGCGTGTCCTGCTCTTTTGAGAGGAGCACGAAGTTCGGTGCTTCCAGGATATCCAAGGCCTGCAAGGGGTTTGATTTCATAATTCCCTCAAACAGATCAAGTCTCGCAAACAAGATCGTCAGAAAGCTAGTTCCGAGACGTAGCGATGGGCAGGAGATGCGAACGAACCTCTTGGATAGCGAGTACGCGTCTCTGGCATTGCGAAAGTATGGATTCGGTATCGAAATCTTTCGAGCAGTAGATACCCAGAGCGGGTTGCCCATGGGGCAACGGATGTCGCTGGAGAGTCGTGCCGGTAATGTGGAGCGTTCCGTTTCCGTCAACGAATCCGAAGAGCGAACGGAATACATCGGTTGTCGCCTCTAACCTCTGTTGATTGAGAATTTGTCTTGATCAAATCACGGAACAGCGGCATAGGGAACGCATAATGAATGACGCCAACTAAGCGACCAGAACGCCGCATAGATCAGGGGCTCCATCCGGAAAGGGAGCTATATTTTCGAATGATATCGGGTCCCGGGGAGTTGGGCATTCACAAGATACGGGATGCCGTAGCTTCATTCTTCCGTGCAGATCCGAACCCAGACTTGAGACCGCAGCACATGATTCTGGCTCGCTGCGATCATATGATCAGGGCCAGATGTTCCCGAATACTGCCAGCCCAGGTTCGGTATCCGGGTCTTCGGACGGGAACTCACCTGCCATAAGTTCTTACAAACGACCACTTTTTGTCCCACCATAGTGATGGAGAAAAAGGAACTTCCGGAGTTTCCCGCGGTATCACATGGAATGTTTCAGATTGAAGTTGGCCAAAATGGAATTATTGGACAACCAATAACAAATGAAATGCTAGACACATTCTCATCCTTTGGCGGGTGTGTGCCCTGTCCCATCTAAAGGGGAGAGAGTCTGATTCCCCCAGTGTCTAGCGTCGACAAAGCACGGCATGAGCGGGAGAATGCCGGGAAAATCGGCGATTCCCCCCTCGGCATCGGCTCGCCATTCTCGCTCTCTTCCCGTGAGGGAAGTTGTCCGAATTCGACACTATCCGTGTCCTCTTGATTCGTGAATTTGAAAAACTAGGGCGCGCTCTTCCTCGTTCGCAAATGGTCAAGCGAGCTCATATATATCCCCGATTTCTCCCGACAAGGGTTAGGATTCCCTGATAAATGCTCGCTTGGTCAAGCTTCGAGACTCGAGACGAAAGGCACCACCGATCTATCTCCCACCCAACTCCTGGAAGTCTCCGACCGATCCCTCCGGATCACATTAAGGGATTCCGCCAGTCGGAGCCCGTCTCGTTGTTCGATGAGAGTAGGCAATGGCCCTCCTGACCGCTTGAAAACATTTCTCCGAGGAAGTATCGCCGGTGGGAGGGTGGAAGGTGGAGAACGAGGCAGCTCATCTATGGACAAACTCTCGATCACAAAAGTATGAAGTATGAAGTCGGTAATGCCGACGATGATGATGATGATCTCTGTGGGGAATGTACTAATGTACCGAAATGTAGAAAATGCATCCTGCGGAATTAACTCCGAGAACCCAAGCATACAATTATGAGCGCGGGACTCTTTCTTGCAGAGATTGCTGTGGGAAGAGAGAGATTGCTCAAGTACACTCGGCTCTGCCCCGAGCCGCGCCGACGACGATGCTTCTTTTATTTTGTAAACATGAGCGGCCAGTTGTTCTGAAGTTCTTTTTCGAACAACGACTGAAGCCGGCGAAATCATAATGCCCCGGATAGTACAGTGCTACTGAGGCGACGATATCCGTGAGCGGCCCGTGGAAATTACGTCAGTCTTTCAGTGCGCACGGCGTCCCAGCCATGCCGGAATCGAGTGATTCCGACGATTACCATAAATCGAAACGAAGGAGGCACCCGAGCTCCAGTAGCTCTGACAGGTCCGTAAGAAGGATACGACGATTTTCCGAAGAATGCAGCTCCGCGTAGACATTCTTCTGTGGCGCGTCGAAAGACCAGCTCTCGGACGGCCACAAATTCAGAGACATGGTCCTGAACGAGGGATATTCGGGAACCCCTTGGACATCCGTCAAGCTCCGTCTCTCTTCGACTTGTTTCCGGTATCTCGGAGGGGTGATCCTTTCTCCCGAAGCAGTGAGTTGGAGGCATCCCTGATAAATGAGAATGATTGTCCTTTCAGCTCCTCATCTGATTCTTCTGTTGACAGACGCAAACGGAAGCGGTCACCCTCCGTCTCCCGCAAACGTCGCAAGTCCAGGGATAGATATCGCGAGAGGTTCGTTGGGAACGTTGGGATATTACTCAGTGAGCTGGTAGAAGTCTTTCTGACGGCTCGGGGCGAAGGTTCCTCGAGAAAGTCGATTGCGCAAACGGTAGTCAAAAAGTGTTTCCTTGACTATGTTTGGGATATCTCACCAAGGTCGTCGATAGTGTGAAATACCGTTCAGCACCTTATGCGGCATATCCATTGACCTGCGACTTCACAGCTCGAGTCGGTAGTCGCTTACGAATTCCGCTATGCCTCCGAAGAACGGAGAAGTGATTGCTCTGTCGTTTTCATTCGACAGATCTCGAAGGAGCCATTCACGGCGGAGGAGCTCCTCGAGAGACCGGAGAGATCGACGCAGAGACAGGAGGAAACGATCTCGCTCGAGGTCACGTTCGAGAACACGTTCAAGAAGTCCGAAGTATAATTCCAGGTGAGGTCCCTCTGAATTCTGTATCCATAGTCCGGGACCTCGAATCCGTGGAGCCCGCTCGAGGTGTCCATCGGCGCCTGCAGCGTCCGTAGGCGAGTGCTGGAGGTCTTGAACTCAGAGCCGCGGTGCGATCGGACGACTAATTCTTATCCCGTTTTCAGCAGACGCAGGAGGAGTGGCTCGAGCAGCGAGGAGTCAACCAGGAAAGACGCTTTTCGTCGGGAGGATCGGAGAGAGGCGAAGAAAACCAGCAGAACTCCGTCGAGGGTGCGATCTCGAGGATGAATGCTAACTCGGAGTCAAGCCCTTTCGCTTCTAGCTCGCTCAATATTCAACTTCCCATCCATCTTACTCATGGGTATTAATATTTTTTCAGTCTCAAGACTCATCGCGAGAGGCCTTCGTGATAGAACCGCAAACCGAAGCAGAACGCTCGCGTATGATCGAATCAATCGACAAAGCCGGATTCAAGCAGCAGAATTTTGTTTCGAAGAGGAATCACCAGCAAAAAACCGTTGATGATGTGAGTTCTGAGCCTTCGAGGTCAAGTATAAGCTCTGGCAGCCTTTGCCGAGAATGAGCGTGGGACTTCCTCGCGGAGATGAAACTGAGTTTCTTCACAGAAACCAAACCAAGATGCGCACGTGGCAGCTATATTCAGTACGACGACCCTTGAAGAATTCCTCGCCGATCAAGCCAAAAAGCCCCCGAAACTAACAAACTTCGAGAGCAACCCGGAGAGCCTCCTGCACGAGAACGTAAGCGAACCAGCCAGCCTTTGGGGGAGGAAGTCTCGTCCGATGCCCGATGTCCCCCTGGTGTATCTGATCTAAAAAAGAGCTTCTGATCCAGTTGTATGATGACCCTGAGCGGCGGAACGAAAAATGGCGGAAGAAGCTCCACAGTGAGAGACGGAAATACCTCAGCACCACAGCGTCATGAGACTCTCCGGGAAGAATTTTATGTCAATGAGACCAAATCCGTACCGCGAGCGCTGTCCAAGCCTACGAACTCTGTGTCAGTGTAATCAGAGTGCCCGGAATTCCTCATGATGAGACTCTGACGGGTTCAGGAACTCTAAGGCAATCTCTTCGCGTTGTTATTTATCATTTATACTGAAAGGCCCGGGAGATGCCGTGCCGATCGGCCGAATTGTAGATAAATTTTTGACTCCACTGGAGCTGGGAAATAAAGCAAATGATGTGCATCGGATGCGATTAATCGAGCTTTCGCACAATTCTCTCGGAGAAAGGAACAATCAAAGTCGAACTCCCGCTCTCGAGCGATCCGGGTTCTGAGTATCCCGTAGCGTTCTCCTCGCCTACACCAGGTGAGAGGCAGGAGGCAGTCGACCGACAGGATATGTTTCCGCCGTCAGATGAGGAACCACGGCTTGTCAAACTCGAACTTGAAGACGGTGTCAGAAATTTGGTAACACCTGAGTGTCAGCACGAAATGTCCCAAACGTTGGTGTCGTCGTCAGTAGCACGCAATAGAAATTCCTGCGTGGCACTTCCGCCGCTAAGAAGTTTTCTTCTTCTTCCATTGCACCACACTTCGCTATCTGTATTTTTCTTGTGTGGGGATTCTCGGGACCGAGTGTTTGCAGAGCTATACTGAGGAGAGAATCGCATCGTCAACAGGCCTTGACGTCGCTCGTCTCAAGTGCTCGTATGTCTCTGTGCATTTACGTCTGTCCGTCTATGCGTACCACAGAGTTACGAAACCGGCGGAGGAAAATCTACGAGAGCTTTGCTGACGACGAGCCCGGTACGCTATGACGCTTGCCCTGAAATTGATTTCTTTCGCTGCTCACCCACAGTCAGAGCGACCTTTTTCATCCTAAGAAGGTTGAGACTCTCAAATCCGCAAGAAGCGAATCGAGCTCGAGGGACGTCGAAGGGGCCCGAATCATCCCGAGTGAACAGAGGGAGAGAAGGACTGAGATCGCTGAGTCATCATGAGAGACCGATCCGCCGGATCGCTGATGAACCATATTATGCAAGGATAATTATCGCTCCTTCTATGCTCTATCCTCTTCTGATGACGATTCTCATCGGGCTGAACCGGGATTCGACCTTCGAAGTGTAGAACGAGAGGGAAATTGGTACGCTCTCAGGCCCGGAACTAATTTCTGCCGATAGATAAGCAGCCGCAGCTCTCGGACTGAGGATCATATCTCGGAGCGGAGGGGGAAGAAGGTGCGGGCGAATATCTCCGCTTCCCCGAATCCTATCAATACCATTCAAGCAGTCTCGACTGTATATGACTCTATGTTCATAGAGGAAGGAGGAGACTCACGATCCAAGTCCAGCACTTCGTTCGCTGTGGCTGCTCGCCGTGAAATCATGACCATGACACACAGGGATCGGGGGACTACAGGCTCAATCGGAAGCGCCGACAAGAGATTGGTTTCACGCGTCAAGCCTCAACAATCTACGTACGGAGCGCCCACTGTCATAATTCGACATTAGCATTGTCAGCATCAAATAGGTGTCGTCAACAGTGTCGTCTTCGTCAGCGGTAGCAGCAGCAACTGCATTTCTCACCTCTGAAGACGTCGTCACTTCCTTTCTGTGGCTGCGCTCCTCAGATCAGCCCTTTCTAAATTCCACCTCGTTGTGCCAACCCGTCTTCGTGGCGGCGGCTCGTTGTTTGACAATCAAACACACGGCATCTCCCTCATTTTTTCCGTTCGACTCATATAAATAAGCTAACACGTTCCAAACCCTCCATCAGTCGGTGGTGGTGGCGGCGGTGTGTTGTTTTTTGAAAAGTTTCGCTTTCACATCCCACTTCAGCACCACTGGCCTTTCGACTCCATCCGTCAACTCGAGGGGAAGAAACTCATCCGAGCACCACCATGAACAAGCTTCTCATCGCGGTAGTGCTGTGCGTGCTGATCATCAGCTCTGTTGAAGGCTTGAAAAAGAAGAAGAAGAAGCTGATCCTCGGAGGAGTCGTCGTGGGAGGTCTAGCGAAGCTCAAGCTGGCGGCCGTGGCCGGACTCGGAGGCAATCTCGGTGGCAGAGGAGGACACGGCGGAGGATTCGGTGGCTTGGGAGGAGGTTCCGGCAACGGAATCTACGGAGGTGGTGGGCACGGAAGCGGTGGATACGGTGGTGGTGGTGGATACGGTGGCGGTGGATACGGAGGTGGTGGATACGGAGGACACGGAGGATACGGCGGTGGCAGCAGCGGACATTTCGGAGTCCCGTACAATGGAGGCTACTCGAACTCGTTCAGCGGATACGGATACAATCCCAGCTATTCGTCGCATGGGTCGTCAAGCTACTATGGGAATCCAAAACACCAGTCCTACCAGACTTACTATCCGGCGAAATCTGCTCACGGAATTTCGAGCTGCAACCCCTGCTCGCATAAAGACAAGAGCCCGTTATACGCCGGCGGATGGAAGTGAACTCCGTCGGATGATTCGTAGTTTCGAAGTTCACTCGCGCTGAGGTTGTCACCGACACCGGTCAGCTTTCCTTGTGCCATATCTGATTCCCTTCACTGAGCATTTGCGACATGTTATAGGTTCATTATCGGAAAAACAGTCCCACGTACGAATGTAAACGTATCTGTTGTAAACACCGTGTATAATCTCGAGAAATTCGAGGGAGTTTAGTTGTATTTTTTCTCGTGGCGTCCTTATACGCGTCTGTGTCTCGTCCCTCGTCTCGCTCATTCTCCGTTTGTTGTCCCACGTTCAAGTCATTAATCCGATTGTGAAACATCGTGCGAAGCCGCTCGTCGGCATCTGACGTAGTGCGGGGAGAAATCCGCGCTTAATATACTCCTGAATGTTATATGTTATGTGTACTCCATGGAAGCTTGTCCGAGTCCGTGTCTTGGTGGCGACCTTCGTACGCTGTACATTTCTATTCGTCCTCCGTTGAGAGTCGCGCCGTCGCTCATGGTTTTCCACTTCCGCATCAATTCGCACTGTTAGTCTCCCTTCTTGTGAATTTGTCAGAATATGGTATACATCTTACGAACAGAGGATACTCATCGGGAACGAGAGCTGCGCTACTCAGTCTGTTCGATGTACTATAAGCTCATCTCAATAAACTGTTTCTACTTAGACCTTCATCGTCGAGCTATCCTTGGAGAAGTCCTCTGTGAACGCGGCGATGAATCGATTAGGAGCGACAGGAGCGCTCGCCGACCGCCTACGGCAATGCTCGATGCGACGAGCTGTCGATGCTTAAGCCATCAAACGGCTCAAGTGTACGATTTGATTCGAGTTTTTCAGTTTTTTTCTCTAACCTCTAAGAAGGCTGGTTCAGCCTCTCGACTCGACAAGCTTCACCAAAATAGAATACATTTATTGAACCTCATAATGAGAAATGACTTCGAGCTCACTCAGGAGCTGTCATAACTTTGAGAATCTGCCGGAGACCTTCTCGACAGGGATCGGTGTGGGCTGCGACTCCTGTCTCCAGATACCGAACGGCTCCTGGAGCGTCGACGGCTTCTACTGTGGAAGTTCATTACGGAAACAGGTCAGTTATCGTCGCAACATTCACTCTCCTCGAGTCACGATCACGTTTGAGAACAATCATCAATGAGAGCAAGCGAAAGAATCACTACTAGTACTTCAGCGTCGCGACGGCCGGAATTCCCTTCGCGGACAAGGAGCCGATAATAAGTGCTCAAATCATTTACCTCCACCAATGTTTTCGATTCGTGTGCTTCCCATGTGAAAGCTCGACCCTTATTCGATGTCCCCTGATTTCCCTGCCGTCGCATTTCCGTACAGCCTCCTCCGCATCTTCTTCTCGTTCAAAATGGACAAAAGCGAATCCTGGTGGTTTTCTAGCGACGAAAATCCGATTTATCTGGAGTGAGAAGCTCAGTTGTCAGAAGTTTGAGGGTTTTGCTTCGTTCCGGGGCGATGGCACATTCCGTTCGTCGAAGACAAAAACAACTTACGGTTCCGTAACGATCAAACATACGCTCGATGTCTCTTTCGGTGACACCGTAACGGAGTCCTCCCACGTAGACTTTGAAATCTTCGCTGTCGATGCCCCGTGGCATTTTCCGTGATTCTTCCAACGAACCGATTCAGAGCTGACAGCGTCGAAGAACGAGCGTGGAAAATATCACGGCTGACCTGACACATGAGCTGCTCTCAAACCTCTAATTCCTGTACCGACGAAGTGGTAGACGTTCGATGTGAACGAAGCTGACGGATTGTGTTCATATCGATGACGATTATGATCATTCGGAGAAAAAAATCGAATTAATGAGAGGGGGGCCAAGGTGGCGCCATCCAGAAGTCGGAAGGAGCTTGTGTTCTCCGGGAAGTAAGGAGCGGAAGACGGATTCCCTGTCTCTGCGATCTTCAACCTTCTCTGTGGGTGAGGCGGCTCGAGGCAGCGATTCGGAATTGCCACCAATTCTTCCGTCTGTTCCTACGATGACAGACGATGAAGACAACGATGTTTGGGGGCATCGTTCGAGCTACCGCTAGGGGCAGAAGCGCTAGCTCCGGCATCGTACGCAGTGCTGGATTCGCCACCGCAGGGCTCATCTGGAGATAACCAGAATCTCTCGGAAATCGCATGATGGTAGAATGTCATGCTGTGATCAAGCCGGAAACCCTCTCGGGAGGAGCGGCGGCTGCTGAAGCTGGAGTCGGCACAAAAAAAAATTGTTGTGGAAGACTTCTCATCGTATAGATGGGCCGCTCGTGGGCCGGGCGAATATCAAGAGCGGAACGAAGTCGAGCAGCAGCGGGAGACGGAAAGGAAACCACGAGATCCACATTTGCGACGAAGCGCCGTAGTCCGTAGTACTCCACCCTTGGGCCTTCGAAAATTTCATCCAGGGGAGAGATCGAGAAAGGAACCGGCCCATAATTACCTGATCCTCTGACCACGGCTTCTAGCCACGTTTCTGCACAGCTTAATCTCCTCACGGGCTCAGGCCGGCCTGTCTCTTCAATAAATGCAATCGTGGCCCCGAGATATCAGTTCCTCGTGAGATCAGCCTTCCGCTAGCCATGAGAGAACTGCAGATCACCGTTTCGAGCATGGTCCCGACTCCGGAAATCATTCTCCGATGCGCGTAACTTATCCTGCACGAACATAAATGACACATTTACTGTATTTCGTCGTGTTTTCTTTCGGACCCAAGCTCCCTCGAGCTTCAGAGGCTCAGGAGATGCCGAAATCATCTCGATTCCGCACCAATCATTGGTCCTCTTACGATTAGTCAAAGGATCTCAGCGTTCAATGAAGTACTATGTCCCCCCCATAGATACCGTGAAAAGTTGGACAACCGTTTGATTGATCGCCGAATGCGGGATCGATAAAGTTACGGTCACGCTGAAGAGCCGCGGAATTCGACCTAAAGAAATACAGGTTAGTTCGGTGAGTGAGAATTCCTGAGATGAGCTCCTGGTAGAAATGGTTCATTTTAGGGTTTAGCTTTGCCTTTGAGTCGCAGTCATTCTCGATGAAATCAGCTGACACAGTGTAAAGAAATTTCTCGAACGGGAAGTAAGAAGAAGCCAATATTTGATTCATCTGTCGAAATGATGATGTCTAGGGAATTCCGTGATGGAGTTCACGGCGATGCTGAGTGAGGGTCCTCTCAGGTCTGTTCCCTGATGAATATCACGTACGAAGTGATCGTCCCCTCTGACTCCGACTGGCGTGCCAGCAATCAATCGAGTTGCTCTTGAAGTTTCGGCCCCGTGTGGCTAAATGTGAGTCAGTCCCGAATCGAGCTGAGCTCGCAGAGTGAAGTTCCAAAACTCGAGGCTAGCACGAGAATGATATTTTCTGCTGTCTGATTTCAGGAAAGCCACGAAGCCTTCGAACGTGAGAGCGTACGGATTCGTTCCCGCTTCGTACGCGGTTCATATGACATTCTCGGACGCGAGCTAAGCCGCTAGATTTCGGTTTTCGTGGGCAGGCAGGCAATTTGACAATAAAGTCAAATCAAACAAACTGGTCCAACAAATTGTAGAGAATCAAAGGGATCCGCGCATTCGTCCTCAGTATAGATTTGGGCTGAATTTCGTGAAGGCTTCCGCAATTCCGACAACCCCCCCTCTCAAGGATCGCAGCCCCTCTGAGTTGAGGATCATGTCTCCGCAGGGACGACTGAGGCAACATGGACGGTACCGGTCTCTTAATAGTCAATTGCGACTCACGTCAGATTCATCTTCTACTTCGGTTAGAATAAGTCCCGGAAGTTTCTGAAGGCTTCTTTTTTCGCTTCGCGGAATATTTGCCATCTGTATACATAGCATGGTACTTCAACAAGCTGGTGATCCCTCCGCTTTCGGAGCTTTCATCGAAGGTGAGTCCGTATGGGGTGCAAAGATCGCGTCGGAAAGCTTTCCGATATTGTAGTATAGCCTGTGTCAGGCCTCAGAGAGCAGCAGGAGTCGCCAAATTGATCGTTAATGATTTTCAGATCCGGAGCTCTTATCGTATCTGCGCGAAAACTCCTGAAAGATTACCAGCTCCCGCCAATACCCGTCTCGGCACAAGTTCATGAGACCCCTCTGACAAGAGAGACAGCCGACTCGATAGCCGTCAGTCAATTTTCCGGGCTCGTGTTCATCTTCATTCTTATATCCAGACAATTGAGCTTCACCACCTTTTCGAGTTGATGCTCCAGAGCGTTCGATTTGTGAATTGTATAATGCTCTCGATTTGAGCTAGTTCCCTTCACTGCCTCGATCGAAGTCGTTTTCGGAGGTTGAATGAGCGATGCCGGGTTTCTATAGAGAGGAAGAAGGGCCGAAATTTGATGAGCGGATCAAAGGGTGACAGATCTCGGCGATGATGAAGACAGTCATAGGACGAGGAGGGAAATTGAATTTCGATTCCGGTCTCCGTCTTGGCTGCTTCCCTATAGCCGAAATAGTTTCGAGATCCGGGAGCCCCGGAGGCGACAGAGCTGTATCCGCGATACTCCTCTCGAGAGACATGTGGCGCCTATATTCCGTCACACACTCTATGATAAGGATTTCACGGCGAAGACTTCGGCTGACTCCATGCTCTCACTCGAGAGAGGACTTCCTTTCCTTTCGAAGGATCAATTATGTATCCTTGGAACTATGCTCATTCCGCTCGAGTTAATGGTCCCGTTTGTCAGCGGGTCTTGCATCTCTCATCGGACTGCGATCCTATTAATAGCGGAAGGTTCGACAGCTGCTTGATGGATCGTTCAGCGGGAATCGACCGAGATGACTTGACGCAAATCAGCCTCTAATTTTGGTTTCCAAGCATTTTCGGGAGCTTGGTTAGCGCGTATCGTGCTCCCGGTCGACATGGTCCATTTAAAAGTTTCGGCTTTGCCTGTGAGTCGCCTTGATTGACGAATGTATACTGAAACGGTGTTTGGATATTCGGGGAGCGGGAATCCCACGAGAAGATCATAATCTGTCCATCTATACAGTTCATGTTCTTGGCGAAACTTCTCGAGGATGGCAGCTTGGGCGGACGGTACGGTGGCCTATTTCACAGCGTGAGTAGACTTCCCGAAGTATGTTGTCAACAAAGTCGACCTAAAGAAAAAAGTTCTCCACGATACGGAATCTTCTAATAAGCAGTCTGCTCAGGCCTGCTCCTTGATGAATATTACCTATGAGGTGAACCTTCCTCCGGACTTTGGATGGGGTGCCTGTAATCTCACGAGTTGCTCTGGATCTTTCGGTTCCGTCTTGATTAATGTGAGTCAGAGAATTTCGAAGTCGCAGAACGATGTAGTAAAGCGATAGGACCACCTGGAAATGATGAATTTCAGGAAAGTGACGTTGCTCTTGGACCCCATAGTCTGCTGGAAACCTATGATCTCCATTTCATCCCCGGGACGCCCCTGTTCAATGAGCGGCTCGTCATCTTGTCTGGTAAAACACAGTGGATTCTCAATTTCGCTAAAAATCCGTGTTCCAGATATATTTCTCAGCATGAACCTCAGCCAACATTCTACCCAGGGATGCTCACTGCCTACGGCGCGGATTCTGGATCTGTGCTCAGAGTATTGGACACGGGGATGTCTGCCGTGCTCTTCGTGATGCCATGGCTTGTGGGCGGCCTCGTTTTCATCTTCGTCTCGTTTGAAAATCGGCAAGGAGATGACGAGGCGAGGGAAGCAGAAATTCTTGACTTCGGGGTCCTCATCATCTCTGCTTATCAAACAATTCTGAACCAGAGTGGGTATCAGACGCGACTGACTCGCGCCAAGTTTGGGGAGCGCATGGGAGAGGACCTTTTCCCGGTGCATAGCTCACATTGCATCCGAGCGCATGAACTAAGCTGCCGAATTCCGTTGTTCACAGGCGGGCAGTATCACAATAAGAGCTCTCCGGGCCGCATCGTGGTCCTCAGCTTCATTTTGATTTGCTTGTTCCTGACCATATTGTTCTCATCGTTCGTGAAGGCTTCCATGATGACTAAGCCGCCGACCAACCGGATTTCGAATCTGCGTGATCTCAATCAGGGAAAGAATATTCGACCGCTCATTTTGGGAAAAACCTTTATCGTAGACTTGATAAAGGTGAGTTCCCCTTGTGTCCTCATTCCCTAAAAGTCTGAACGCGGAGCCCGTTCGTGCCGGGTGCCCCATGATATGGAAAATCAGTTGAGTTCGCGCTCTCTCCCTCTGTATAGATCCAGTCCGAGTTCAGCGAAGACTTCCGCAAACTCGACAAGCTCCTCGAGAAATACGACCTCATTGATTTGCCCCAGGATGCCGTCTCCGCGGAGACTACAGAGGCAATCATGAACGGTACCGGTTTCACGATAGTCAATTGCGAATATTTCAAATACTTCTTCTACTACGGCTGGACACAAATTCCGAAAGCTCGTAAAGGCTACTATTTTTGCTCGACGGAATATATTGTTACCGTCTACGTCACATGGTATTTCAATAAACACACGGTTCCACGAGAAGTTGTCCGTGAGTTCAATCGCAGGTGAGTCGTCACGGGCCGTGACGCCCTCGGTTGACTCTGTCGTCCCACGCCGCGCCGCAGGGGAAACAGACGAGATGATATTGATCGGAGGTGATTTTCAGATCGAGATGGCTGATCGAATCTCCGCAAAGGTTCGTCAAAGAATACGAGCTCCCTCAAATACCTGTCTGGGCGAGAGTTTATGACGCACCGCTGAGTGATGAGAAAGCCGACCCGATAACCCTCAGTGATCTTCTGGGCTCGTTCTACCTCTATCTGGGTGGATTGGGCTCTGCTTGCTTCACCTTCATCTTAGAGTTAGTGCTCCGAGGCGTGCGAAATGTAATGAATTGATCTCTTTTCCCGAAGCCCGCTGGTTTTCCCTTAATTCTTGGGTCGCCTGATATCTTGAGATGAAATGAACGTTGCGCGTTCCCTGTCAAAAGGATGCGCCGCGGCGTAGGAATTCAACACCGGGAATTCTCGCAGATCTAGATGGGGGAAATCCCGAAGAGGATTAGGTCCAGTGTTTCCCACCGTGCCAAGTCGCGCTGAGACAAACGGTCGAAAAACGAGGAAATGCAAGTCGGGAACCTAGTTCATCTTCCGGCTGTATCCGTCGCTCGCTATTAACCGAACTCCAGTCATACGTCATTGTACTGACTCGGCGTCCTCGGAAGCTCTGGCCCAGAAAGAAGGCTTGCAGCGGCCAGGTCAAGGGATTTCAGACATTATGGGTGTAATTTTATCGATGACCGTCAAGTAGTCGAAAAAGTTTCCATTCAGGAGAGGCTGCGCGCTCCTTCGTTATAAAACGTTTCGTCACCGAGGATAGAGCTATGGGCTGATCAAGAAACAATCGAGAGCACGCTCGCTGATTCTGATTCTTCAGCCCCGGGTCAAACATGGGATCCAAGTCATCTGAACATCATCCAACAATGGAGCATCCTTTGCGTGCCGGTTCCGATGGGTGAAATCAAGCGTTTTTCAGTCAGTCCAGAGTTTCGCTAGAGAACGTCCTCTCCTCGACAACTTGAAGGAGTGGAGGCTGCATCCTGAACTACCTACTTTAGTGAATCGATTCCATTTTTCGTCTTTCGAAATAGGTAACCATGAAAAAATTGTACATGCTGGGAGAATTTCCCATGGTTCGACAAATGGCTAATGATTTCTGAGAGATGATGACACCGTCACATTCGGCATTGACATGGAACTGAACCCACCCAGTAGTCATTGATTCGATTGTCTCGTACCGTCAGCCTCCTCCTCAAGTGACGGGAGTTCCACGATATTTTCTGCAGCTTTCTAATGAGCTCGCAGTAGGACCTTCCTCACGTATTTAAGCGGAGCCCCGACAGCGTGAAATGTCAGAGCTGTCTTGCGTCTTTCGGCACCGCAATGGCAACCGTGAGCTCGTAGTTACATCTATTTGGCAGGCCTTAGAAGCATGAGGAACTGTGGATGGATAAGACTTGGTGTGAAGCGCGTGCTGTGGGACTCATAGATTTCTTTCACAGGTACCTACCCGACTCTTGGTGACCGTTCTAGGATTATCGACTGTTACGCTCGCTCAGCGTCTTGAGCAGAACGTTGGAGCGCAAACGAGTTCCGTGGGTGCCCAAGCGTTCCCTGCCACGACTGTCTATCCGCCTAGACAAGGATCTGTGAGAGTCGCCTTCAAGGAGGAGGGTAACCGCGAAGATAAGTTCCAGCAACAGAGACAGGTGAGAACTCTCACGATTCGCTCCGATTCGAGACGCGGCCTCTTCGGAAGGGATTACCGGAGCTGTGTCAGGAGGTGGACTCTAATCGACGGATATGCTTGCAGGAAACTAACAACCCGCAACCCTACGACTTCGGCTACAACATTCAAGACGAATTCGGGAATAATCAATACCGTCAAGAGACTGGGGATCAGTCCGGCTCGGTCCGGGGCAGTTACGGATACACCGATGCACTCGGAATTTATCGTAAAGTCAAATACATCGCGGACGCGAACGGCTTCCGTGCTGAAGTCAACTCGAACGAGCCCGGCATGAAGTCTGAGAGTCCCGCAGCCACGTCGTTCCTCATTGAAGCCCCGCCGAGTGGGTTCCAGGCTAAGCCAGCGGCCGACGGCTCGCGTCGTTTCCCACCGCAGCGTAGGTTCGCGAGTAGCGGATCCATTCCCAGTGCCGCGTCTGCCTCCAGCTGAAACCCCTTTTCAAGGAGATTCACGAGTTTGTTCACAAGTCAAGGGAGAAGAGGAATACCTAACACAGGGCCCTGATTCATCGACTCAGCGCCGACATCCCGGCACGGTCGGAGCCTGGAGTAGATATCTTCAGAATAAAAAGACGGATGGGAAAATTCTCGGAGTCGTTCCTGTATCATCTCGCGGATCAGTGGAGAATCTGCCTCGCCAGAGCATTTTTCGGGTTTCCCATGGATACGTACATGCGACAATCCGGTTTCAAGATGATCATCCGGTAACGAACGCGCTGGGATATCGAAAGAGCAACCCAAGCGATGATTAGAGAGGAACCCCAAAGTCGTGTCGTATCCGAAGTCCTGTCGTCCTCCTTCGAGATCAGTTTTTAGAGGCCGCCCCTTGCGTAAGCGAGCGGGAGGAAAGGTTGATTTGCTTTGGTGATTTCAAATGATTTCTTTATTCTCATCATCATCATCATAATTATCGTTATTATCCTTAATGTTATCCTCCTCATTACGCATCTCGATCATCCTCTTTTTCATACTATTTACATTATACACAGTACGTAGATTGCATTACGTTGGATATTTACAATATGTACACGAAGTTTCACATTTTACAATTCCATAATGATCAGACCCTCGATTCTTGGTCATTGCTTTTTAAAATTTTCTTCTCTCTTCTCGCCATCTGCACGCCCTCTCAATGTGTGTTTCATTTCATCACTCATATCATTTAAATATTTTGGGTAATTTCGGAATAATGCTAAACGTTTACACATAATACACACACACACGCTCTTACGAACATCGTCTGGATCTACGTAAGACAAGAGTTATTTGTTGTTGTTCTTAAGAATGTTCCTTTCATCGTTCCCCATCGATGGTGATGGTGGTTCGGCGTCCATGAGGAGAGAATTCCTTACTTTTTGGGCTATGCTAACGAGATGTCGAGTGCTATCAGTGCCAGACTATGGATTCGAAAGTGGGTTTTCGGTGTCGACTACGATCGAAGAACTCATCAGGATCTTCAATAAACTAGTAAGACCAGCACAAGAGATGTCGGAAATCCGTACCGTAAGTATACAACAAATAGGAAATCTCCGAGTGATGTCGGCGTATCTTCTCGGTCGGCAAAGTCGTCCACAAGGAATCACAGTCGGCAGTGATCGACTGCTTCGCTCTCTCGGCTCTAAGCAAAAAAAACTTCAAAGTTGCTCGCTTGATTGAAGTTTTGATTCACAGTTCAGGTTGTCCTTCTATTGGACTCCAACAAGCAACGAATACGGCAGCGACGGCCATAGCAGCGGCGACGATTGTAGCGGTATTTCTAACAGCTGCAGCCGAAGCAAACTGCGAACTCATTGGTCCTCGGGAATTCTCAATATTACTATTCTTTGACGAGAGAGGGCTCATCTTCATTCAACTCTATCCGACTGACTAGACGTTGTAGAAAAAAAAACGAAGACCAATCATTTCGCCTGTCATGGTTTCCGCCCGTCGCTCGATTGATTTCCTCCTTTTTCCTCGCAGCCAGCTTGCTTCACTTTCCCTCCATCGGATCAGAAACCTCAAAGTGAGAGAAGGACTTCCGGAGTGATATTTACAGTCTCGGTGGTGGTGATGATAGTACAGATCAAGCGTCACTCAACTACAAAGAGCCAATAGAGCCCAATTTATGGAATATAAGCTAAATATCTCCGTCGCTCCGTTCAGCGTACAGTTTTCAGCTGTTCGGTGTCAGGGTAATGGTAATGATTGATTCGTTCAGTTTTCGGGTTGAGAGGCAGGGCGAGGGGGAGGAAACAAGGAGCAGGGGGCTGAAGGGGAGCGGGGCGGTAGACGAACTCTAAGCGGCAGCCAGACTTTGGTGGGACATCTTTTGCAGAGGGAGGCCATGGAAGCCCACGGTTGTCGCGCCGCACTTGAGATCAGGACTCTCCCACACCCAGCTCACATCACCAGATTGTTTACATCGCGCTGGCCGTTAGAAAGAGCTTTTCAACCTAAACTTGGAAATTATTGTTGTCGACAGGTCTACGCGCGCATCGAGTAAGGCTCGCGGCTCCGCTCTTCCAGATGAATGCGCTTCGCAGAGAACGTATTCAGCATCGAGCTAATTATCACGTGAAAAAGAAGCCTGTTGGTGGAGTTGCGGCCTTACTGAGTGGAAACTTAAGATCGGCGAGCTGAGTTGCAGTTACCGCATTACCGTGGCATTTACCACACACTTGCGCATATGTTTCTCCAGCGTCGAGGGCACCGAAAACGGCATGTTACAGAAACGGCAGCGATAAACATCCTTGCCGATTCGTCCGTGTGTCTTCATATGTCGGGTCAGCTTGGAGCTCTGCGCGCACGCGTATGAACAAAGCTCACATTTGTAGGGCTTCTCGCCGGTGTGCGAGCGTCGGTGCACGGTCAGGTTGCTGCAGTTCTTGAAAACCTGGGACAACGAGGAGAAAAATTAGACTTTTTATCTCGAAGGGTTGCGAGTTCAATGAGCGAGCGCCATCTATAAATATGAATCCGAGGGAACTAGTCGCATATGGATATCGACTGACCTTTCCACAGTATTCGCAAGTGTCGTTACGCCTCTCACCCCGGGGCGGCTTCGACCCAGCGAGGAATGGAACCATAGACGAACTGGCACCTTGACCTCTCGAAAGTGACGGAAACGACAATCCGAGAAGATCCTTGCTAGCGCGGCCTATCGGGAATGGGTTCTCTGAATTCAGTGAGCCGTAAAGGTCACGAGATCCCAGGCCTTGTATCCATAGGTTAGAGTATAGAGGCTCCGCCAAGGTTGCGCCATCCAACTTAGCGGCTGAACACGATCGGTCTGTGATCGAAGAATTCACCGAGCTTGGACTTCCTCCTGGAAAAAGGAAAATCGATCAGACGTCGTTCCTTTCCCCATTTGAACAGGGAGATAATCGACTAAAGGAATCCACTCCGTCAAGAGGCTCGTCGCTGAAGACGTGACGTCGCGTGGGCACCTACCGTTAACAAACGACGCCTCGGAGCTCGGTCTCTCTTCCAGAGCCTGTTTATAGGCTTCAGAGTACTGTTGGATGTTGTTCAAGCCAATTTTCTCCATGACTTCTCCGATGAGAGATTTGTGATGGCTGGCGGCAATAGCCTGAGCCTGAGATAGCAATTGGGCAGCAGGATTGTCCGCCTGCGAGCCTTTGGGGGGAGAGGCGGGCAGAGGACCTCGAACTCTGAGATCCTGAGCGACACAGTCCCCGTTCACAGGAGCTGCAGATCCTTCGCGACATCGAGACGGTCTCTTGTGCACTTCGTGTTCTTCGTTTTCTTCATCGTCATTTTCGGGCTCCTCTTCGGATTCTTCGGAATCTTCCTCAGTATCGTCGTTTTCTTTGCTGTGCACGGATAGGTTCGTGTTGCCGTCGTCCTCTTTCTCGTCGTTGACGACCATGTCGTGATGGTGGTCCTTGTCGACGGAGATGTCCTCTTCCTCCTCCTCCTCTTCCTCGTCTAGGCAAGACTCGCTGTCGTGCTGTGCTCTGATGTGTTTCCGGAGCCGTGATTCCGCGTCACAGCTAAAACCGCACAGAGAACAGTTGAACAGATCTTTGCCAGTGGAAGAAGCAGCGGCAGCGGCCGTAGCCGCGGCTACCGCGGCAGCGACGGCGGCGCTCCCGCCAGTACCGTTTCCCATGCCGCCTGCGGGAACAATGCTCCCGATGGCACTGCTGCCAACACCTGCACTGCCGTTGCTGGTCGAGAACGAGGATTTTGGAGAGGTCGAACCGAGTTCGGTTGGACACCGCGCGTCGAGCGGAGATGCGAGCGACGGCCTCGTTAATGATATTGGCGTAGTCGCCGCCGCTGCCGCCGCCGCCGCTGCTGCGGCTGCGGCCGCGGCCGTCGATATCGATGTTGCTGATGTTGTCAAATGACTGAGAGCGGCGATCGCGGCGTTCGGCGAAGAGGCCCCGGCGAGTTGACGTAATCGCTGCGAGTAGAAATCTGTGGGATCCAACGTCAACGGAGAACTAGTAGACGGAGGTTTGATGAGGTCGAGCGGGGAATTTACAGGCGACGAACTCCGGAGTCTCGGATAGTTCGGTGGCAGACCGGTGCTTGGAACGTCCGAATAGATTTTCATGCCGTGGGTCGACTGGACGTGCTGCATGAGGAGCCATGCCGAATTGCAGATATGATTGCACGTGAAACACGTGTAAGTCAAGGGTTCTGGAATGATAAGAGAGAGAATTCGCTTAGAATAGTTCAATCTATGGGAGAGAAACCTCAGGAGGATGAGATTTCGAGGACGAACGATTTCTCGCCTTGCCGCGAGAATGTGGACATCCACAGGGAAACGGGAGGGGGGTGGGGATTTTGGAGGAGGGGAGAGGAGAACAGACTCGCAGAGAAACGACAACAACAACGACGACGGCGGCCACTTGATATCGCTCGTCGTCGTCGTCATGAGGGGGAGGACCGCGAGCCTAATGAAAGAAGTCCATTTACGTTTTCGAATGACATTCAGAGCCGGGCGGACAGGCTCGTGGGTCATATGTACAGCGCAGGTAGAAGGAGCAAACGAACGAGTGAGCGCACCGCGGCACAACTATTGGCGCGGCGGAGACTTACTAATGTTAGTAAACAATTACAACTATGGAGGCACGCAGAAACGGACGATCGTAATGGATTCCACGCGAGAAGACAACGGGCGAGTCAGGCAACCGACGGCGCGGCGGCGGGTCGACCGACCCACAGACAGACTTAATGGAGACGTGTAGGATGAGGACTTCTGAGCCGCCGCGGCTGCTTCGGCGATAGGGTTTGAGGAGAGATTAATGAACGACTTCTATCCATCTACGACCATCCCTCATTGAGGACCTGCCTGGCTGACTTCCTGGATTGCCGGCCGCTCGGTTGGCAGGTTGGCTCGCTCGTCCCTTGAATTGCTCGTCGCGCATTTACAATTTAAATATCCTCCAACGTTGCTCTCTTCCTCCGATCGCGTCGACGTCGGTCCCAGCGACGTCGTTCTCGTCTCCCACGATAGCTGCCCCAATCCCTAGCGGCATCACCTTTGTCAAGAGCAGAACTGGAATCTGCTGCAGAAAATCTCTCTTCGAAACTTTCTCTCTGCCGTCGCCCACCGAGCGCCGGACAATCTCAGATTAAAACGATCCATCATTTTTGTCGAATGAGCACATTTTTCGAGATTTTGAGCCTCCCCCTCCCCTCCCATGAACGTCTCCGAGCCCCTCTCCCCACTCCGACCGAATGTCTTGGCCTCCCCGCCGCCGCCGCTACCGCCGCAGGAAACTCGCTCCTGGTAACAGGACCGATGTCATGCTCACTCGAGGGGATCAGCTGTGTACCACGAAGGGGATGGTTCCGAGGGAACAGACTGCTAGTCGGTCGCCCGACCGACCGACCGACGGACCCAGCGGCCAGCCGGCTGGACGAACGGGCGGATCAAGGAGAGAATCCGAGTGGGGCGGAGGAGGAAGCTTCCTCATGGGGGCAAGTTTCAATTATGTCCTCCGTCACTCCAATATGGACTTGTCCTAAAAAAAGTTGGCCGCACTCTGAGTTTTCTGAGACATGGCCAACGAAATATCAATAGCCGGCGAGCGGCTATGACGGACTGCTCGCTTGGCTTGGACAACCAGTCGATAATACCCTTCAGGGAGGAAAACGCTTCGCCGACCAAAACCATTCCCGATAACAGCGAAATCCCGCGGGAGGGGAAGCCGGTCTCGATCGGAAAGCACACGGAATAACTCCTCGACGGAATTCAATTGCTTTTGGTAAATCGAGGAATCGAGACAGACTTAACGGATTCGGGAGACAAAGGAGCACCGATTGGGAGAGCTGTCACGTGGAAGACGAAACGAGAGCTGTCACAGAGAATCGATCTCCTGACCTACCGATAAAAATGACGTAACCTTGCAGGTAGGTAGTATCGTCGTTATGATCGGTCCGAACCGGGCGACTCCGCCGGCCGTCTCTCACGATCTTTCGTCGACCGACATCGTGGTCCCCGGTAAACGGGCCGACGCCTTGCATTTCACGAAGCAGAGCAGCGCCCGTCGTCTCGCTCTGGGTGAGCATCGGGATGACTCGAGAACGCGACGAGAACAGAAACGAGGCTCAGGGTCAGGGGGAGGTATGCGGATGGCGCCAGCGTGTATTCCTCGGCTCGAACACTCGGCGCCGCTGTCTTCCCCGCTAGCGGAGCGACCACCGTTTTAAACTATCGATTTTAAATCTCGAAAGCCCCGCTTCCAAATACAGGCAGATGTTAACTCGGACCGGGGCTTTAACTTGATTTCCATGATCGACAAAACAGCATCCGACTCGGGGAGTGTGCCGATGCTTTGCGAACGATTTGTGTTCTTCGCTTCGATGCGGCCGTGGCTGCCATCGAGGCCGCTGATGTTGTTGGTGTTTACTTGTTTGAAGTTTTGAGGAAGGAAGACGGGTCCATCGCGGCCTAAAATGCTGTCCTCGAGCTCCTCATGCGTTTTCTACTCTGTGATGATAGTGGCTCGCTCGGAGCACGGCAGCGGTGATCGAAGTCGGCACGACCAGATCGCGGGACCGAATTTCCCGCTGACGACCGATTCAATGTTCGGCGCATAACGAGAGGAGTCTGTAGGGCTAGATTAAGTGCGGCTCTCCGGTGACAAAGAAGGAACATTCGAAACTACGCGGATTCAGTGGCTTGGAACAATTTCAAATGGAGAAACAAGTCTCGTTCGAGCAGCCGATCGTCGAGCTCACTGTTCCGTAGGACTGGGGACCACGAGCACTTGATGATCCACCTGATGGGGAGCTCGGGAGCTTACCCTTGCCGGCACCCCTCCGAGATGAAAGTTTCAAACGACTCCTTTTCTCGTCTACCAGGGCAGTCTTCGAGATCCCAGATCAAACACCGGAAATCATGACGCGATTCATGCCTACTCGGACGCCGAGTCTCACTCAGTATCGAGCTGTTGTGAAAACTCGAAGCACAACTAGCAGGTACGAGCTCCGACGGCCGGACCAGCCGGTAGAATCGCCGGTCTCATATCGGTCCGAGTGAGATCCAGCCAGCGGGATCGTGACCATCGTTTCCTCAACTCGAGAGCGAGAAGCTCTTAGTTACTGTGGGAAGAAATAATTAAAGTTGAAAGCTCAAGTCTGTCGGTGGTTTCTTTCTCTTGCTCGGATATTCTGTTCTATACGAGCCCGAAGCTCACAGCTTCCGGTGGTCGATGGTTCACACAATTTTACATGAAGAGAGCTTCTAGCAGCTGCTAAGCATTGCCCGTGAGTTCTCGCTAACTAACGGTATCGATCGTCCAACTAACCGAACGTTCAACCGGCAGAAAGTCTTCAACAGGATCTTGTGCACCTCTCCTCAAACTCACTCACGGAGGAGGTCATACGGGTCACGGCGTGGGTCCGGCCGACACGGCAGCCCACTATTCTCTTCTTATTCAATTCGTCCGCGTTCTCTTATCGTTTCGCTCCTTCACGCTATGCCGCGATTGTGCCGACGTGAGGATACTCTTCATTCTCGGAGGGTGCGACTCGGAACGGCGACGCTCATCGTTAGGAACAGTGCAAAGGGCCACGGGACGCGAGCCGCAGGTCCCGTGATTTTCCCAACGCGATGGGTCATTGCGAAAACCACCCGAACCTATGGCGCTCATCCGCGGTAGTTTCAGATCCGGAAGGATTCGTAAGGCGAGGAAAGGTGTCGGATGTTAACGCCGGCGCGTATTTGTCATATATGGCAGCGAGGTCATCGCGAAGAGTAGTCATAAACCCATCAGCCGGTAACGGTCAGCCAGTGACAGAAGCATTGGTTTCGAAAGGGGCCCTCGAACCAGGAAGCATATGCCGCTGCTTCTCTCCGGGACGGTAGTGCTGCTGGTGTTGGCAGCCGCGGCGGCAGCAGTAGTTGTTGTTGGTGGAGCTGGCGCCGCTCCCGCTCCTCTTCGGAGCCATATAACTACACCCAGGTCCCTCGGATAGACTTCGCGAAGTCAGGTGGGAACGAGCAAGTTGAAAGTCTGCTCCGCCAGCGCCGATCGGCTCCGACGGCAAAACGTTTTGGAACTCGTTTGAGACGCCTCCGGAACTTCTCAAAGGGTGGAAAAATTGCTAGAGGCGGAACAGCTGACGGGAGGGGACCGGTCGTCGTCTCAGAGGGCTCTTCCGGGATTTCAAGGATCTGGGGGATTCGGTACGAGAGAGCGAAAAACTTCGAAAAAAAATACAGCGGTGTCTTGCGATTGGGAAGGACAAATTTAAAATGGTAAACTAACAGATGTCGTTTGCTCTCTCGATCCTTCGGTCTGCGCGAAAGTCGCCGCCGTCGCTCGGTGTGTCGATCTATCTATCCGACGCAAGCGCTCTTTCTTGTTCCTCTGCTCGCCTCTTCACTCTAGCCAGACAGCTAGCTAGCTAGCTCGCTTGCTATTTGTGACACAGGAGGCAATGATGGTTGGGGAGCAGTTTGGACGGACTGCATAAAATTGTAGTTTAAGTCAGCCACACGCCCCCGCAGACTACGACAGCGGGAACAAATGACGAAGCGAGCGCGGGAGCGAGCCAGCGGGCGAGACGTTGAAAGAAGGAGCTCTGCGAACGCGCAAACGAAACTCACTTAAACTTCAGTTAGCGCCCCCTTCATTGCTGCGGCGACGAAGCCGCCAACAGCAGCCGTCGGAGTGACCCTTTTAGTAGGCCGAGTCATGTTCTTGATCGAGAGCTCTAAAATTCCGTCGACGATCGCCGTACCGCCCCGAACAACTGTTAAATACTTTCTGAGAGCGCACTCTCCGACATCCGTCGCGTCTTCCTTCCGTTTTCCGTCCATTTTCTCGCTCCTAAGAACAAGACGTCAATGCGACGCTGCAGTCCCCGGATTGAGCTCGGGCTCTCCAAAAATCGACACGGGAGTTCATTGCGACATTCGGACCCGGGTTCTCCCTACGATTTCAGAAAGCATCCCGTATCGCTCGAGAGCTTGCCGCACCCCGCAGGAAGCGTCTGGTCAAGCGACCGCTGCCACTGCCGCCGCGGCCGCCGCCACGAGGTCCATCAGGGATCCTCCGTCGCCTACGGGGGCGCGAACTGTAGCGCGTGGACATTCCTCCGTAATCTTGACTTGCCGTAACCCCGACTGACCGTGCGACCGACAGAGCGAGCCGCTTTGTCGATTGGTCGTCGTCGCCGCCGCC